TATCTTTTTTTTTTACAAAATATTTATTGATGATATCACAGAATTTTTAGTTTAAGTTAGGGATATTAACAGGTCTATTTTGGTCTAGGTTTAATCTGGTATATTACAATCTATTGTCTTAAGAATTAATTAAACCCGAATGGTCCAAATTGGTCTGGTCTTAAAACTAAAAGCAGACCAATTTTTTCTAATCCTAGACTGATCTTAAAATTAACCACGGTCTATTAGTTTAAAATCAGATCGTATAACATCTCTAGTTCTAGTTTTTGACGATAAATAATAATTAGAAAAAATGTATTTGTTGCACCTGTACATAGTATTTGGTATAATTACATCATAGTAAGACTCTTTTATAATTAAGCCAAAGTCTGCAACACTTTACTAAGAAGCATATAAAATAATACCTCTTTCTTTACTAATAAACTTATAAAAAAATTCCTCTTTATAAGCACATAATAGTAAAAACCTTTATATAATCGCGCAATTTGCATGATGCAGGCTGTGCGATTATATAGGAGAACGACTGTATATATGAATTTATTTAATTTATATAATTTAAGGATTTTATTTTTTATTGCCATAGCGATGTATCGCTACTCCCTGATATTTAGTTGTCGCGTCGCGTGATGTCGGGGTTTCAATATTTATGATTAGTAATATACCGTATAGTTCCGAAATTAAGCACCTTTTTTTTTATAAGGGTGCTTAATTTTGGATAACTTTTTTTGATAAAATTTATGATATGCAGTAATTTATCGTTATGTAAATACATATAAAGACAAAATAGGAAGTAATCTTAATTTATACTATTGTTATTATCGTTATTGTTATGTCGCCACGAAGCGAATATAGAAAGTTACTAAACTTAAGCGTAATTCATATTCTATCGAACAATAAAAAACAAACTGTCACCTATACTAAAGAAACTGGGAGGAATAAAGCCGTGACAGCCTTTAAGCTTGATCCTAGCATGGTTGGTCATTGGATTAAAGTAAATAGTCTATGGGAGCTGAGATAAAACAAAGCACCAAGCGAGTCAGCTCTGGTCGAACAGAATTTTACCCTAGGGTGAAAAAA